CCAAAGAACAAGGGCCAGGTGAGCGGCGGGGAGGAGGGCGTTGGGTGTTTTGGGTGAGAAATCGTCGATGGAAGGTGTTAAGAATAGAGGCTACCTTTGATGGAACGGACGGGGCCAGGTGGGGGGGCGGGAAGGGGGGCGATGGTCAGCTTTGGGTGACGAATCTTGGGGTGTGGGGCGTGGTGGGCCACAGCGGCTCGACGGGGTGGGGGTGCCGGGGCGCGAAGATGGATATCGCTCGCTGTTGGGCGAGAGATGTTGGGGGTGTGGCTAAGCGGGGCCGCTTTCCCGCACACGCCTCTGGGGTCGGCGGATTTCTTAATGTTTCAATGTAAATCCTCAGATTTGAATAGACGTTCTTGGTTTTTGTTCAAACTCTGAGACTATGAATTTCTTAACCCATGAGTTCTAAAGCTTTTCGCAGGGTGTAGGGGCGCCGGCAGTCGCAAGAGGAGCGGTCCAGAGCCGGGCCCGGCGGGGGCTCTGCCACGTCCGAGGATAGGGGAACGAAGAATGACATTAACAACCTCTCGGAGGTCCGCGCGGATTTCTCGGATCTGCGCTGGGGCCCCCTGGCGCCGCCCCTGGCGCGCTCCGCGCGCCAGGGAGGGGGGGTCCAGCGCCGATCCGAGAAATCCGCGCGGACCTTCGAGTTCTTTAGGTGGAAGTGTGACAAGCAGGAGAAGGAAGAGGGGCAGCCGCGGCAGCAGGAGGACCCGTAGCCGCGGGTTGGGCCCGGGGCGACCAGCACATTGACATGTCCGCAGTCCGCTGCCGCCGGCCCCTGTTTGAACGCGGTCACTGGCGCGCGCGCGGGCCGCGGAGGGCGCGCACGTGCAAGTTGCTCTGCGCTCTCACGAGCTCTGTGCGGCGACCCCGAGCAGGTTTCGTGCGGGAGGGAGGTGGGAGGAGCGGGGATCGGTGGAGGGGATGGTAGGGGGCCACATGCGAACCCTACCCCTACCCCCCACGACTTCAGAGGGGGAGGGTGGGGTTCACTTCGATCGGGAGCTCCCGAGCGAAGTGAACCCCACCCCCCCTTTGAAATCGTGGGGGGTAGGGGTAGGGTTCGCATGTGGCCCAGATGGGGAGGGGTGGAGGGAATACCTGTTGTGGTGCCCGGTCTGGCCGGATTCCGGCGGCGAGGGTCTGCCCAGCTGTGCCAGCCGCGTCTGGTGGTCCGCGAGCGACTGGTCGGCTGCAGGAGGAGACGAAGAGGGTAAAGAAGCTCTTAGAAAGGGTTGGATGTAATGCTAAGAAGAATGTGAAGAAGAAGGTGGATGACATGGACGGCACAGGAGCTGTGAAGGCCCTGCCGCGGTTTCGATCATGCTCATGATGTCTATCGGTGAACAGACCGCTACAAGCGCCGCACCCTCCCTGGTTGCAGATGCATTGGCACAGCCAGGCCAGAGGCGACGCGTTGACAAAACGGGCAACCGTGCACCTTCGCACAGTCCTTCGCATAGCGTGGCCTTTTCGCTGTTCACTCGACATTTTGTTTCGACACGGGGACCATCGATGACTCCATTACCTCTGCAGCGTGGGTGGGCAACAATTCGTAATGTGCGGTTCCCCTCCTCCCTCCGAGCTCCCCCAGGAGACTCCCGGGGCTGCGCAGAAGTTTCAACAGGGCTTCACGACGGTCCCAGGAGGTCCCCAGACTGCCCCAGGAAGTCTCCAACGCTAGGCCTCAAGAGACCGCAAGAATGCTCACAGAGGGCTTTCAAAATTGCCACATCAATCAAACCAAAAAGGAATCCCAACGTGCTTCCCGTGCTGGAACTTTCATTTGTTGCGAAAGTGCGGCTCCAAGATGGCCTCGAAGTCCCAACCGGTCCCAAAGAGAGTTGCATTACTTGTTGCCCAATGATGGCTCACGACTGCTGCGAATACCAAGCCTCAATGCGGCTTCAGACACCAACGCGTGGACTTCCAAGTCAAGGGCCCGATCATCTGGACGCGGCCCTTCTGACGTGCCACGCGCTTGGCCCTTAGGCAAATAGACATTGAGCGCGCGCGAAGCGCGCGCGCGATGGTTCTCGTATAAATGTATATATTTTACCTGCAACGTTTATTTCATGCAGCCCCCGAGGCAGGGGAAGAGGGGACGGATGGAAGGAAGGGGCAAGGTGGAGGGAGGAAGATGGGGCACGAGAGAGGGAGAAGCAGGAGGGGGATTAGAAGCCGAAGACACGTGGCATGACCAGACGGGCAGATCGGGCGGTTAGACCCTAACGGGCGGGTCGGGAAGGCAGGCCCAGGCGGCCAGGTCGAGCAGGCGGGTTGCTGAAGCGTGCGTCCTGCATGAATCGCGAGGAAGTCTCGAGCGATAGCGCGATTCACGAATAAATCGCTAGGGAATCCAAAGCGAGAGCGTGATTCTTGAGTGTCGAGGGCGCGGCGTTTGAATCCGTTGAAGGAAGTCCCACGCGAGAGCGCGATTTCTGTACAACTTGTGAGGACGTCCCGCGCGAGACGCGATGTGGGAATGCTTTGTGAGGAATTATCCGGCGAGAGCCGTTGTCGTCCGTCGGGAACTTTCTACGAATACTTCCCAGAGGAAACCTACAGGAAACCCCATGGGTTCGCCCCCATGGATTCACCATACTGTAGAGCCCCAGAAGGTCGCTTCGCTGGCGGCCACACTGGATCCGCAGGCAGGAACACGTTGGTGTACTTAGGGGTATCCTCGCAGATTTTGTGGCACATGGACATTCTGTACAAATTATAAAAGAAAGTCACAGAAGCGACGCGCGTTGCTCCCCCCCTCCGAGGGGAAACAACAGCAACCTGCCCAGGTGTGTGCGCTTGCCCCGTACTTCCCGGGCCTCGCCGGGACGGCCCCGGAGGGTGTCCTTGCGATGTTGTTGTTGTCGTTGTTGTTGTTGTTGCTGCTGCTGCTGTTCTTGTTGTTGTTGTTGACGCTGCTGTTGCTGTTGTGGTTGTGGTTATTGTTGTTGTTGCTGGTGTTGTTCTTGTTGTTGTTGCCGTCGATGACGGTGATGCTGATGTTGCTGCTGATGTCGCCGTTGGTGATTACGATGATGAGAGTGATGATGACGATGATGATGACGATGATGATGGTGATGATTATTTCGATGCTACTGATGATGGTGGTGATGATCGTGCCGATGATGATAAGGAGGAGAGGGAGGCTGCCGTTAATTCTGATGGTTGTGATTATGATGAGGTGTATTGGGGAGGATGGGGAGTGACCATGATGATGACGATGACGACGACGATGCTGCTGCTGATGATAATTACGATGATGATGCTGATGCTGATGGAGGAGGAGGAGGAGGTGGAGGAGGAGGAGGAGGAAGAGGAGGAGGAGGAGGAGGAGGAGGAGGAGGAGGAGGAGGGGAGGAGGAGGAGGAGTGGGCAGGAGGAGGTCAGGTGGAGGAGTCAGGAGGAGTGTGGTTGAGGAGGAGGAGGTCGAGGAGGAGGAGGAGGAGGAGGAGGAGGAGCTAGAGCATGAGCAGGAGCAGGAGCAGGAGGGGACAGGACGGCACGGCGCGCAGAGGACGGGAGCCGAGGGGGAAGGCACACGATGAGCAGGAGGGCCCCGCCCCCGCTGGGCGGGGCCACTGCGCCTGGCCCCCCTGGCGCGCCGGCCCCTGCCGGAGGATGCCGCGCCCTGCGGCGTCGGGGCGTCCGCCTCGGCGCCGGGCGGCGGCTGCGGCGGCCAGCGCAGCCAGGACCGGAGGAGGAGGAGGAGGGGGATGAGGGGAAGGATGGAGGATGAAGAAGGATGATGTAGGCGGGGGAGGGGGAGGGAGGAGGGGGAGGGGAGGGGGAGGGGAGGAGGAGGATGGAGGAGGAGGAGGAGGAGGAGGAGGAGGAGGAGGAGGAGGAGGAGGAGGAGGAGGAAGGAGGAGGAGGAGGAGAGGAGGAGGAGGAGGAGGAGGAGGGAGGGGGGAGGAGGATGGAGGAGGAGGAGGAGGAGGAGGAGGAGGAGGGAGGAGGAGGCGGAGGAGGAGGAGGAGAGAGAGGAGGAGGAGGAGGAGGAGGAGGAGGAGGAGGAGGATAGAGGAGGGAGAGGAGGAGGAGGAGAGGAGGAGGAAGGAGGAGGAGGAGGAGGCCGAGAGGAGGAGGAAGGGGAGGAGGAGGAGGAGGAGGAGGAGGAGGAGGAGGAGGAGGAGGAGGAGGAGGAGGAGGAGGAGGAGGGGAGGAGGATAAGAGGAGGAGGAGGAGGATAGGAGGAGGAGGAGAGGAGGAGGAGGAGGAGGAGGAGGAGGAGGAGGAGGAGGAGGAGGAGGAGGAGGAGGAGGAGGAGGAGGAGGAGGAGGAGGAGGAGGAGGAGGAGGGGGCGGCCCGCGCCGGCCAGAGCCCGGTCGAGCGGTTCGCGCGGGAGGCCCTTTTGTCTCGGGGGGTCGACCATCGGGCCGAACGCAAGGGGGGGATAGGGGAAGGGGGGGGTACGAAGTCTGCTGCATGATGCAGCTGGTTTCGGCCCCACCGAAGGGGCCCCTTCCTCGATGCATGGCCGCCTCCGGCGCCGGGAGGCGCCAGGAGAATCAGCCGCGTGAGCCGATTCTCACCCCCCCCCCTCTGCTAATCCCCCCCTCTTCGCCCGGCCCGAGGCCAGGGGGGGGGACGATGACCAGGGGGCGGGGGACGACCTCAGGGGGGCGGGGGATGACCAGGGTTAGGTTCGTGAATTGACTACAGGCGGTCCATAGGAAAACCTGCCGAAGTCTTCAAAACATCTTCGGCTGGAAACTCAAACTCCAAAAAATGTTAAAGAATCTTGAATGGGAAATTCAAAATCCAAATCAACCTGGGGCGGGTGGGCCTCGTGGCCAGAGTCGTGAGGTGTCCTCGGATGTCGTGCCCCCGCATGGCCCTTGTGGTCCCGCCGCGGGGCCGCACGCGTGCCTCGGGCCAGGCTTTCAGTCGGGCCTGTCCCCCTACAGGGGGATTTTCGACGAAGAACAAAATATTCCAAAAATAAGCAAAAAATAGTCCAACAATAGTATCTGGGGACTATTCTTCGAGTATTGTTAAACCTTTTTGGGACATTTTTTGGGGTATCTCTTATATCTTTCGTCGAAGCTCCTCCTGTAGGGGGGGCACGCCCGTCTTACGCCAGGATGCGTGGCGCCCCCGCTTGGCCGCCCGCTGCTTGGACGCCCCGACTGCCCCAGGCGGGGGCTCATCCACATGAGGAGGGGAAAAACACACACACAGACATTGTTAATCTTCGATTCCCTAGAAAATATGGGAAACTATGGGGAGTGGGGGGGAAGACAAAAACCCAGAACATATGGGAAACTATGGGGATTTGTTTTATTTGTGTTTTTTATTTGTGTGTCCTGGGGCCCCTTTACCACATTCGGGCCCTGGGGGCGGGGGGGCGGCCGATGATGTCCGTAAGTCGCGCGCGTCCCTCTACAGGGGGAGTATTCCAAGATAGTTAAAAAGAATAGCATGGGGACGATTTTTCGATCGGTTGTCTTAAAACTAGTTTGAGTATTTGTTTTTTACTACTTTCTATTTTTCCTCCGAGATCCGCCTGTAGGAGGACATGCCCGACCTAATGATGTCCATATCCACCGCCTGCGGAGGTCCCCGAAGATCATCGATCCCCCAGGCGGTGGTGATGGACAGAGCCCCGCGGTCGGCTGGCGCGAGGTCCACACGAGAGCGCGCCGCCCCCGCGGGGCGGGCGGCCGCCCCCGCGGGGGGGCGGGAAGGCGGGCCCCGCGACCCTGCGGCACGACAGCTGCTGAGCGACGGTGTTCGGCACCGGAGATCGTTCGAGGTGGGCCGGTCCTCTTGCCGAAACGGGTTCAGCGGCGCCGTAACGGGTAGTCGCTGACGGGTGCTTTGGGAAGTTGCCGAACGTTGCCATTCTGGGGCCTCTTTCTGGCATTGCGGCGTTGCCCACGTCGGGGACGGTTGGGTTCGCTGGGGCACTGGCCAAAGTGCCCGTCAGTGGAGTCCCCGTTAGAGGGGCGCTGATGGGTACGAGCAGAAATGGGCACGATGCCCATCAACCACTTTATCCCTGGACGCGCGTGGCCGTTGTGGCCTCGTTTTTGCTCGCCGGGAGTCGTGGGCGAGGGGTCCTGGGCGGGAGGTCCTGGGCGGGAGGTCCTGGGTGAGGAGTCATTGTGCTACGTACGAAAAAATGTGCACGATGCCCAACAGCGAATGTTGTCCAAAATCGACAGCGGTTGGGCAGGCGGCTTTCTGTTTCAAGTGGACACCGACCGCGACGACACTGACCGCGAATCCTGATCAAAGTGGACAGGAACAGCCGCCGCTCGTCGTCCCGATTCATTCCGTGCCAATTGTGATCGTACCGATTGTCGGGGGCGTCAAAAAGGAAGAGAGGGGTAGTGATTTGGCGTTTGTGGATGTCGTGCCTGGGGGCATCGTCTCTCGCGGATGCCATGGCCCCCGCTTCTGCTTTCCACACGTCCCCTGGCCCACCCCTCGTCCGCGCACATGCTCCGTGGCACGATGTTCTTAACTCAGGAGGGAAAACACACTCAGGCACAATTAATCGTCGGCCCCCCCAGAAAATATAGGACAATATGGAAAGTGGTGGGGGGGGAAACGGAAATCAAGACAATTCGCAAACATTGGGAATTCTGGGCCTTTGTGTGTATTCTATATAGATATATAGGTACATCTATACACGTATGTGTGTGTATCTCCTGGAGGCCAAGTCCTGCCTCGAGAGGCGTTCCAGCAGCTGCGCCTCCTTTCCGAGAGCGTCCCGCGGGGGCCCCGAGTCGTTCCGAACAGCCGCCAGGGACCAGAGTTCTGTCGGAGGCCCAGAGGTTGACATCAACACCAGTATCGGCGTTGTGCCTCCACCGAGGGAAGATGACCCCGATCTCGGTGATGGTCTCAATATTCGGCAGTACCACCAACACCAGAATGTAGGATCATCTCCCCCCGTTGAGGCAATCCTCTGAGTTGGTGCTGGTGCCCATCTTCAAGCCTTCAGTTCTGGCCCGAAGCCCGAGTGGCCCTTCGCGGGAGTGAGCGGCCTTCGACGCGCGGCTTTGCTGGGCACATGGGGGGGAGGGGGGGGCAGACCCAAGCACGCATGCCGGCACAGTGGAAAACCATGCCAATCGGGTCCGCCAGAGCGCCCGATCCTGCAGGATCCTGCACGGCCAGGTTCGCATGGACCCGGGTTTGGGTGCAGGATCCTGCAGGATCCCTCGCATTGACCCGGGTTTGGGTGCAGGATCTTGCACGGCCCGGCTGGCCCGGGTCTGCATGGACCCGGGTCGGCGGAGCCCCGAGCCGAGAAACACCCCCGCTTGTCTCCAGGGTGCCCTGGGTCTCTTGGGTTTCGATGGTTCTGCGGTGCGAAGCGTGGTGATCCCACGCCAAGAATCCGTGGACGTCCTGGGTCTCAGGGTCGGGTGTCTTGTGAGAGGGGCTTCCTGTGGACTGGCCTCTTGTGGGCTGGCCTCTTGTGGACTGGCCTCCACTGTACTGCATCGCAGGAAGCGATCGGCACACCGCGCACCAGAGGTCACTCCTGCCCAGGGCCACTCCTGAGGCGCAGCCGGCTGGGGTCGCTGGCATTCTCCAGAGGTGGCCTGGCCCCAGAGGGTGACTCCTAGGAAGCCGTGGGGGAGACGCGAAGCTCTGAGGTCTTGGGCGGCTCGTGGAAGCCGCCGAGGCCACCGAGAAGCTGTTGCAGGAGCCCTCAGGTTATCTTCGAGGGGGCCGATTCCGCGGAGACAATCGGCGCCCTGGAGGCCAGCACTGCACGCCAGGGCTTTCCGAGGTCCAGGGGGGGAGAACGAAGAACGGATAAAGCTCCGACCCACGGCTGCATCTTGTGCCCAGGTGCGCTAGTGTCCTGGTCTATCTGTCCCCCCGCTTGCTTGGCACGCCCGAAAGTGTACGGGAGAGAATGCGATGCCCAACAGGATTTGTTGTCCTTCAGAAAGCGGCCGTTGTCGGACAGGCGACTTCCTGCCCGAAATGGAGGGCGTTTCTTCCCCTGGCGATAACGCGCGTGACCAGGGGGGGAGGGGGGGAGTGGGGGAGGTGGGGGGAAGGGGGGGGAATAGTAAAGACTGGTTAATTGGCTAATTGCCACACGGCGCTGGCGCGAATTCTCCCGCGATCAGGGAGGGGGGGCGGGGCCAGTGACGGGCGCTGTTGCGAAGCACATCGATTCCTGGACACCGTCCGCGGCGACACCGACGGCGAGTCCTGCCCAAATTGCGCAGGAATTGCTTTCGGTCTTCGTCGTCATTCCTTCCCGTACCAATCCTGATCGCACCGATCTGGAGGAGGAGGAGGGGGCAGGAGGAGGAGGGGGGAGGAGGAGGAGAAGGAGGGGGGAGGAGGAGGGGGAGGAGGAGGAGGAGGAGGAGGAGGAGGAGGAGGGAGGAGGAGGAGGAGGAGGAGGAGGAGGAGGAGGAGGGAAGAGGAGGAGGAGGAGGCGGTGCTGAGAACCATTTGGGAGAGCCGCCTCTGGCCCTGCCCCCTCGATCTCGACCAGAAGACAAACAACACCACCCCACCTACGTCCCTCCATGTTGCGCTACGGTTGTGGAGGACGATCAATGGAGAGGAAGCATGCTGCCAAATAATTTCCAGGTGTCTAAGTAATGTTTCAAACATGCTTGCAACATTTTGAGAACATGTTGTACACATTTTAAACACATTTCAATAATAGGACTGTGAGAGTGTCCATTGTCATGGCATCCACAAGACAAGCCACACCACCCCAACCTACGACATCTCCTGGCAGACGCTGAGCCCCTGGGAGCCGCAGGCGGGGAGGCGTCGTTAGTTTTCTAGTCCACCTCCTCCCCACCGCCGCGCTGAGTGCCTGAGGGCCCGCCGCGCCTGCTCACCAGTGGGCCGTCCTTCGGACGTTCCGCGCGTGTCTGTCTGTCTGTACCTCCTCCCCGCCTCTGCTCAGGACGAGCACCCCGCGGCCTCGGAGGCGGAGTCCGCGGCCGCCTTCCAGGACGGACCCCCCCCGCGGCCTGCGCCCGCTTGGGGACCCCTCCTCCCTCTCCTTGCCTTGAGTTGGGCATGTCCGTCTACAGGAGGACAGCACACGACAGCACTCCGTGGAGCAATTTGGAACAAGCGTTCCTACGCCACACACAACACTGACCACAAGTTCCAGCCCGCCCGCACCGGCCTTTCAGGCCCCGCCTCCCCGGCGGACTCAGGCGCGCCTTGTCTTGCCTTTCCTTGCCTACAGGAGGAGTGTATGCGAAAATAGCCAAACGTAGTCTGGGGACACGGGGGCCTCTCGGAGTGGAAGGCTTCGATTTTCGGTTCGCGTTTCCCCCCGTGGACCCCTCTTGGGGCGGTCTCGGAGCCCTCTTGGGCCGTCTTGGGTGCCTTTTGGGCCGTCTCGAAGCGCTCTTGGGCCGTCCTGGGGCCTTCTTAGAGGCCTCTGGGACCGTCTTGGGGTGTTCTTGGGGGTCTCTTCGGCCGCCTTGGAGCGTCGGAACACAGAAAAGGCGAGAACGTCATCGTCTGTCAAACATCTAAGGGCAATCAATGACAGCTGCCTCTTGGGGCTCTCCTGAGAGACCTCCTGGAGACCTGTTCGGGGCGTCGTCGAGGCCTCTTGGGGCCATCCTGAAGTCACCCTGGGCGTCCTGGAACGCCTTCGCGCACGCGGAATGCGAGATTGCCGCGCCCGCATTCTATTCTTATATATATCGAGGAAGCTCTACGAGTTCCTTGCGGTAACCAAGGTTGACGGTTTACCGCCGGCTCCCAGTGTGAGACGGCGTTGGATTTCTTAATTCATGCTCTCTCGGCAGCTCGGGGCCTCCTGGCCCGTCTCCTGGGGCCCTCCTGGGCCCGAGGCAGTCGCGCGACGAGGTGCGGGGGGGCCCAGAGGGGGCACGCGGCCAGCCCTAAGGAGATCTGTACGCGCGGGGCCTTCAAGAGGCAAACATCGGCCCACTTCCCTCGTAAAACGTGCGTTTTCGGCCTACTCGCTGGCTTCGTCTTCCCAGTGCCCCAGACGCCCCCGCGGAGCCCCAGCACAGCCCAAGAGAGACCCAAGAGGGCCCCGGACGGCCCCAAAGGGTCGGCCTGTGGGGCTCACGGACCCCCCCAAGACGGCCCAAGTCGGGAGCCTTGAGACGGGGGTCAATGCAAACGGGGGTCAGCCAAGGCACCAGATCCTGCAGGATCCTGCGAAGCCCCCCTCTGGCTGGCCCGGGTGAGCGAGCCGCTCGTGGCCGCGAGGCGGCCGCGCAGACTGGCCGACCCGGGCTTGCGAAGACCTGCGTTGCAGTCTTTTTGTCCTGCACTGCAGTTTTTGGTGTGCTGCTGACCCGGGTCAGAAGTGACCCCCGACGGGGTCTGGGCCCCTCAAAGCCTCCTCAGAAGTGAGGGTTGAGGCTTACAGTCGACCCGCACCGTAGGGACGGGCAGCCTTCCCGAGGGTACCCTTGCATCCTTGCATCCTCGGTGCATCCCTGGCGACGTTCCTTGGCCGCGCCCCGCTGGAAAACTTCGAAATGGACTTCCGAGGGCCTTGCATCCTTATCGCGCAGCCTTTCTGTACGGGTTGACTGTAGAGGATCAGGCAAAGGACCTGAGGATACGCACACTTCGTGCCCGGCGGCACGGTGGCAGATAGAGGTGAGGATGTGGCAGCGGGTTCGGCCGACGCTCCTTCCGTCCGGGGCCCATGACTTCTGGGCCAGGACGGGTTCAGGGAAATTGTTGACGCTTCGCGACTCCCCACCAGCCCATCCAGAAACGATGCCCAGAGGAATTGCCTGGATCAGGGAAGTGGGCAGCACACAACAGAGGAAGCCATTATGAGACATCTTGGGATATCTGGAGCCATCTTGGAGGTCATCTTAGGCTCTCCCAGGCGCTCTTGGAGTCATCTTAATCAGTGCTCCCCCCAAGAGGCCAACATGTGGCTAAAACCTGAGTGACATCAATGATTTGGCATTCTCGCCGAGGCCTCTTGGAGCATCTTGTGTGCCTCTGGGGGGTCTCTTGGGGCCTCTTGGGGGTCTCTTGGGGGCCTCTTGGGGGCCTCATGGGGCCATCTCGGGGCCATCCTGGGACATCTTGGGACCTCCTGGGCGCTTCTTGGGGCCATCTTGGAGGAGATCGATCAAACATGAGGGGAGCATTAATTAGCGTCCCCCCCCAGGAGGCCAAAATGGAGCCAAACCCTTAGTCAAATCAATGATATTGGCTTCCTCGCCGAGGCCGTTTTGGCATTCTCGCCGAGGTCTCTTGGAGCATCTTGGGTGCCTCTGGGGTGCCTCTGGGGGGTCTCTTGGGGCCTCTTGGGGGCCTCCTGGGGGCCTCCTGGGGGCCTCTTGGGGGCCTCATGGGGCCATCTCGGGGCCATCCTGGGACATCTTGGGACCTCCTTGGTGCTTCTTGGGGCCATTTTGAAGGAGATCGATCAAACATGAGGGGAGCATTAATTAGCGTCCCCCCCCAGGAGGCCAACATGGGGCCAAACCTTAGTCAAATCAATGAGTTTGGCTTCCTCGCCGAGGCCGTTTTGGCATTCTCGCCGAGGCCTCTTGGAGCATCTTGTGTGCCCCTGGGGGGTCTCTTGGGGCCTCTTGGGGGTCTCTTGGGGGCCTCCTGGGGGCCTCTTGGGGGCCTCTTGGAGCCATCTCGGGGTCATCTTGGGACCTCTTTGGGCCTCCTGGGCGCTTCTTGGGGCCATCTTGAAGGAGATCAATCAACGAAGTGCGGAGCATTCACTAGCCTCCCCCCCCCAAGGGGCCAAAATGGGGCCACAACCTTAGTAGAATCAATGATTTTGGCTTCCTCACCGAGGCCGTTTTGGACGCTCTGACATCTCGCGGCCATGGGGAGGGGGTAGGGGGAGGGGTCAAGACCCCCCCCCGCCCGCAAGCCGTCTCGCTCACTCCCACCCGCCCTCCCAACACATACGTAGCACCCGAGTCTGGCCCGAGCCTCAGCATATTCAGCAGTCGTCTTTGGATGGGCAGCTGCTGGGGGCCAATCCGCCGCCGCCACCGCCGCCTCCGCCGCCGCCGCCGCCGCCGCCGCCGCAGCCGCTGCCGCTACCGCCACCGCCGCCGCCGCCACCGCCGCCACCGCCGCCGTCGCCGCCGCCGCCGCAGCCGCCGCAGCCGCCGCCGCCGCCGCCGCAGCCGCCGCCGCAGCCGCCGCCGCCTCCGCCAAGTGTACTCTGTATTGTTTTTTGACAGGGATGGTGTGGGGGGGCGCATCGGGTTGGCTGCGCATGTTCCGAATTTGGAGGCAGAGTGTGTGTTCGTTTTGTTTTTTACAAGGAATTGTGGGGGGGTGTCGTCATGGACCTGGGTTGGCGCCCAGTCGCCTGGGGGAGGGGGTGTGTATTAATAGGGAACAGTGATAAACCCTTCCCCGAAGGGGAAGAAGGAGGGGTGGAAGAGGAAACGCCCTAAACCACCGACTCACAGAGGGCTGGTGGGATTAGTGGCCGTGGCGGGCTTTTTGAGTTTTGTTTGCGCTGGCCATTTCCCCTGAACCTGCTGTTCGGCCCCAGCTATATTTTTTTGTGCAGGTTGGGGTTCGACTTATCCCTGTCCAGTCTATCCTTTTTTCGGGGCTGGCCGCTTTCTTTCTTGGCACCTTGCCTGCGTAATGGGCCCAGGAGGGTCACTGCCAACTTTTGGCAGCGCACTTTTGGTGTTACCCCCGCTGCCTGGTGAAGAAGAGCGCCTTCAGGCGGCCACAAAGAAGCGCGGCGCGGCAGACGAGCAAGGTAAACCAGGCGAGCCGACAGACGAAGGTGCCGCGGAGGAGGAGACGGCCGACGAAAAGGCCGCAGATGGGGACGACGAGGACAAGGAATGCGCGACTGAGTGCTTGCTATCTCTCTCTGTCTCTCTCTCTCTCCCTCCCTGCTCCTCCTGCTCCTGATCCTGTCTTCAGACCTTGTGAGTTATCCGTAAGGGCTTCGCCCCATGGCGCCGTCCCCCTGTCTCGGATAATGGGAGATGCAAAAGCTAAATCATGAGGTCTGGGCGCCGCCGTGAAGCAGTGTCGGGACCTGTTTGTTTTTCGACCCTGACCCCGCCGATCTGCATGAGGGGTGCCACCGAATTTCAGAAATGTGGCAACTCCCTTGTGTTTTTGGACCCGGGCCCCGCCGATTTGCGTGAGGGGTGCCACCGAATTTGAGAAATGTGACACATCCCCTGAGTTTTTGGATCCTGAACCCGCCGATCTGCGTCAAGGGTGCCACCGAATTTCAGACGTGTTGCACATCCCTTGTGTGTTTGGACCCTGACCCTGCCGATTTTCATGAGGGGTGCCACCGAATTGCAGAAATGTGGCAAATCCTATGTGTTTTTTGACCCTGACCCCGCCGATTCGCGTGAGCGGTGCCACTGAAGTTCAAACATGTGACAACTCCCTTGTGTTTTTGGACGCTGACCCTGCGGATCTGCGTGAGGGGTGTCAATTTTTACCCCCCCCAGAGATTCTGAGATCCCTCCCAGGGGGTGGCAGTTCCGCTGGGTCGGGCTCCCCTGCCCTCGCGCGTTCCTCAACAGGGAACAGTGAGCAGCAAGAAGCAGAACTGTAACAGTCAGGAGGGGAAAAAACACACAGACACAATTAATCGTCGATTCCGACGAAAATATCGGAAAATACAGGAAGTGTGGCGGAAAACAAGAACCTAGAAAATATAAGAAAATATGGGGGATCCTGTTATTTGTGCGTATTTGTTTGTGTGTCCCAGGGCCCCTTCAAACAGTGGAAACTGGAAGCTGCAACTGGTACAGGGAGCAGCACATTCCTGGCCTACAGCCTGGTGGCCCCGCAAGGAGGCCGGCGGATTGCCCTGACTCCTGACAGCAACCCTCGCCGGAACCCCCCATCCTACCAGCACAAAGCGGTACAGGGTCGACGCTTTTCCTTTTAGCGTGGACGTTCGGTCGTCGACCTTGCACGATCCGCGGCAGAGCTGAGGCTCGGCGCAAATTTCGGGAGAGAGCGAAGTATCGATGCCGCCTGATCGCCTCACATGTTTTGCCATCTGGAAGTTGAATTCCTGCCCAGGTGCGGCGACTCGCCATCTCCCACCTCGGACGGGGACCAGCGCGCGATCTATCTATCTATATATATATATATATGCAGATCTAGATATAGACATAATGGTGCTGCTCGCCCAGTCGTCGGAAGCGGGGCCGCGCCCGCAAGAGCGGAATGTCGCCCACGCATTCGGATCGTTCGGCCTGAAAGACGCGTGCGCGGCGCATGTTTTCGCCATCGCCAGCGCCGTCCGAAACTTGTCTGCGCGCGAAGGAGCTCAATGATGCTACAGTGCCGTTTTTCATACATGCTCCGCGTGCGGATCATGTATCAAAGATGCAGGGGGATTTCGTAATAGAAAGAACGATGAGTTCATGCATACATTTATTCATAAATTAATCATGTATTAACAATCGTACATGCAACAATCCTATGTATTAAAACCTGCCCTGTGCCGCCGCAGCAGCATTCTGCCTCCGCCCGTGCGCGGCCGCATGGCCTTCTTCTTGGCCATGCCACCGGAGACGGGGCCGCGCGCGCGCACGAGCGCCTCGCGCGGGAGCGCCGCGCGGCGGTCGCCCACATCCAGTTGTAAGTCGGGCCTGTCCCCCTAGAGGGGGATTTTCGACAAAAAATCAAAAATACCCTAACAATACCCCAAAAATGTCAAAGAATACTCAAAGAATAGTCCCCAGACTATTGTTGGGTTATTTTTTGATGTTTTTGGGGTAATTTTTATTTTTCCTCGAACATTCCCCTGTAGGGGGACAGGCCCGACTTACGTACAGTTCTGCCAGCAACTGGTTCTTGTCTCGGAGAGGGGTGGGTGTCACCGAGAGCGCGTTCCACGGCTCGCAAAGTGACTGCTCGCAAAAACGTCCGAACTTCGCACGCGTCTGCATCTGACATGCAGGGTGCCGCAGGTCCCCCTCTCGGCGGATCCAGGGCATCCGCGAGCAGGTTTTTTCTTTTGCGAGTGGCGGAGCGCGCTGGTCTAGGGCGGGCGAGGGCGGGGCGCGCTGGCTTGCCTCGGCCGGCTTGATCGACCTGCGCTCGCTCCGATTGTTGGAGGGTGACAGAGGGGGTCTGCAACAGGGGGTCTTCGATGGGGGCTGAATGGCCCATGTATGCTCAATGTATCGTTCATGTATGTGGTCGGGTACGATTGGCATCCAATGTTGGGGGTCACTGAGGGCCAGTCGTTCGTGCCCGCGCGTTGCCAGCGCGTTGCCCGCGCCCGACCCCCACGTTCACCCTCCAGGACTGCTCCTGCTCCGCCTGCTTGGTCGGAAGGCGAGGCGGGGGCAGCGAGAAGCGGGGGGAGGCCAGCAGCGCGGCGGCGTGGCGGCCCCGAGGTCCCCCGCCGCCGCCCAGAGAGGACGGGGGCCCTGGAAGCCACTCGCGCAGGTGTCGGTCGTGCGTGAGATCGAGGGAGGGAAAACCGTTTTCCCTTCTTCGATCTCACCCACGGCCGCGCTCGAAGAAGGGACAACCATTTTTCCTTCCTCGATGGCGTTCAACGCCATGAGCATGAGCTTTGGGCGCTCCGCGCGGATTCCTTGGATCCGCGCTGGGCGGAGCGCGCCAGGGAGGGGGGTCCAGCGCGGATCCAAGGAATCCGCGCGGAGCGCCAAACGCTTCTGTTTGTGTCGTTTGTGTTTCTTCAGCTGCTGCTGCTGCTGCTGCTGCTGCTGCTTCTCCTTCGTCTTCTTCTTCGTCTTCTTCTTCGTCTTCTTCTTCGTCGTCTTCTTCTTCTTTTAGGAGAGTGACATTTCGCCGGAGTGACCTCCGGTGCGGGCTCTCTGGGGTCCCCAGGTGGCTGAATGAGCTGTGGTAGCAGCGGCTTGTGAGCGCCTGGGCCTGGCCACCCCGCCATCCCCGTTTGAGCCGCGCACCAAATGGTTGCTCGTGCCCAGGGTCACCGCTTGCGCGTAGCCGGCCAGCGAGGTGTCCCTGGAATTGTGGAGGTCGATGAATGGAGAGGAAGCGTGCTGCCGAAGAATCTCCAGATGTCTAAAAGCTGTGTCAAACATGTTTTAGATATGCAGAAGACATGTTTGAAACATGTTCAGAACATGTTTTACACATTTTGAGTACATCTTTAATTCAATGATCGGATTGTTAGAGTGTCCACTGTCATGGCATCCACAACCCTAGAGCGTGCGCGCGATCATGTCGCGAACGCGCTTGCGAGCGGCGTCATGCGCCGCGGCTGGAATGATCCCCCAGCAGGCGGCGGCGCAGCCGCGCCTGTGCTTCCGCGCCTGGGCGGCCGCCGAAGTACCCCGCGAAGGGCACGAGGTCCCAGAGGGAGCAGCGCTGGTGCTTCGACGCTCCCGCCTGGCACCCGCGGAGTTGCCTTGCAGGGTCTCGGGGCCGAGTCCACCGATGAGATGTCGACGCTCGTGCGGCCCCCGGACACCGTGGTGGCAGACCACGTCCAGCTTTGCTCCGCCGTCAGCCTCCGTGTGCCACTCGGGGCTGATCCGCTTCGATGTGGCGTGGATCCCGATCTCCTCACGGATCCAGGCGGCGAGGCCGTCGCGGATGGCATCGCGGCGGAGTTTGGGTTTGCCAGCCGCGGGGTGCAGAACCGGCTGTGAGACCCGTAGGCGTCCAGGCTTGCCGCAGCGGCTGGTGTTGCAGCTCGCAAGGCCCAAGAGGGTGTTGCAGCACAGCTGGGGCGCCGTCGGGAACGGGAGGTGTGTTTGGCGGGCGTGCAGAGTTCGAAAGAGCGAGGTCGGCAAGGGAACTCCATCCGTTCGTGGTTTTCTGACCAGGCGCCTGCGGACGATCCACAAGCAGAGTGCCGCAACGGCCTGTGCCGTCAGGGTGACCAGCTCTCGAAGGTGCTCGCCTCGGCGGGCTTTGAAACCAGCCGCACCCGAGTCCGAAGCGAACCACCGCCGCCCCCCTCCCTTTTGGAAACGTTTATGTGGCCGAACTTTGTGCCATAACAAGTCTTGCAACGTGGTTGGGCTACCTGTTCCCCCCTCCGCTGTGGCACCCATTGGGGGCAAACTTGTGGGAGGAAGGGAGAGAGGAGGATGAGAGGGAGGATAATAGTAAAAAGGTTAATAATAGCAACTGCTAATACAAGTAATGATATTCGTACGAGTCACACCCATACTACGAACACTAATATTATTGTTATTAGCAATACTATTAGTAATAACGCTGAGACGAATAATCATACAGTACTACTACACAAAAGAAGAAGAGGAGGGAGGAGGATGATGATGAGGAGGAGGAGGAGGAATCCGTAGCCTGGCTCAAGGTGGTCAAGGGACCCGCACGACCCCCGACCAGAAGCCCTGGTCCAGGGTGAGGGCCATAATCTCATTTGCAAGATTTCGGCGCCCTCGCAGTCTTTCCGAAGAGACGCGCGATGGCAGGAGGCTGGCATGAGGCGTCTGTCTGGAAATGCCCGCACTGCGGGTGCGGAAAGACCCCTATCAGCGAGCACTGGTGCAAACATTGCGAGCGGCACTGGAAGTCTGGCAAGGCCAAGCAGCCCAAGGGCAAGGGCAGAGACCTGGGCACTCCTCCTGGTCTTGGTGGTCGTGCTGCTGTGCATGGCCCGCCACTTCAACCAGGCCTCGTCCAGGCATGTCCGGATCCTGTGCCAGAGCTCACGGTGCCAGAGTTGCAACAGCTGGTCCAGCTCGGCGAGAAGAGCAACAACGCCCAGATGGTCGAGTACTGTCAGCAGGTGCTGGCCATCAGAGATAAGCAGCACGTGCCGCCCCAGGTCAGGGCGGATCAGGCCCACAAGTGCACCAAGCAGCTGGAGACGGACCTGGGCACCGAGT